CGGCGGGAAAGGCGGCGGGTCGGTGCGTCGAGCGGGTCGAGCGGCCGAGCAGCGCGGCGCAGTGCGGCTTGCCACGGCGCGGCACCCGAATGAACTGCGTGAATTTCGAACTCGAGCGGGGAAGTGCGTTAGTCTTGGATCGAGCGGCTGAACTGTGTGCCTTTCGGATTGCGCGTCTGAACTGCGGTAGTCTTGGATCGGGCGGCTGAACTGCGTGCCTTTTAGTCTAAGGTATCGAATTGTCTGCTATATTGTTTATGTATCCTCTTAGTTCATCATTAGTCCGCTGAGAGCGCTGTCACTGTGATTGTTCTTTCGTTTTTGTGCGCCAAGAAGTCAGTGTGAAATAAATCGTCCGAGAGTAAAGTTCATGTCGTTTGTGCCTTTATTTACCGAGCCAGTCATTAGAAGAAAGATTATAGCATTCAATGCTCAAGATGGAACATTAAACACTAAAAGGTTATGGGCAACAGGTCGCTCCTTAACTGCGCCAAACAAGAAATTAGTGAAGTGAAGTTAAAAGTGGAAATATTGTGTGAAGAGAACCTGACCAAGACCAAGCACGTGTGAACCGGCAAAATGGCCGCCGTTGGTGAAGAAAGGAAGAAACTAGAAATCCCTCAAGGAGACAACTATATGCATTGGGCGAGAAGGACTAGAGCGGCCCTACAACAGAAAAGATGGTGGGAGGCGATAGAGCCCGGCTACCAAGAAGATCTCGAAGCATGGACTGCCGTTCAAGCTCAGGGGAACAGTGACGCACTAAACTACATTCTGCAACGCGTGGACGATTTAGACTTAGACGACATTGGTGACTGCATCTGTGCCAAAGATGCATGGGAAATGTTGAGAGAAGTATACCCCACACTTGATGTGATACAGGTGGTTGATGTTTTGGAAGAATTGTGCACCACGAAGAAGACAGAAGAAATGTCCATGAGGCAGTACATATCATCAGTAATAAAAATTTCTCAAGACGTCGGAGCCACAGGACTTGAACTATCTGAAGAGATGACTTGTGCATTTATTTTGAAAGGATTAAAGCATATCCGGAAGTATGCAGTGCTGATTCAATCTAAGTTTGCGAATGTGAAGAATGTAGATTTAAATCTCAAGAAGATGAAGAGCATCCTTTTATTCGAGAAGAGGCAAGAGCAATTAGAATCCAGAAGAGAAAAACAAGGTGCAACTGTTTACAAGTCAACATACAACAACAGAAACCCCAAGGGTGAATACCGAAGACAGGAAGAAAATGATCAACATGGAGAACGGCGTCATGAAGACAGGAGATATGAAGACAGAAGATATGACAGAAGATATGATGATAGAAGATATGACGACAGAAGATATGACGACAGAAGATATGACCACAGAAGATATGACGACAGAAGATATGAAGAGAGGAAATATGAAGACAGGCGACCACAAGGTGTTTGTTATGCCTGCAACAAACCCGGACATATTGCAAGGAATTGTCCAAACGGCGAACCAGAAGATAAGAAGAAATCGAATCCAAGAAAGGAAGCGAGAAAGAAGATAACAGGAAAGAAAGGAGAAGTTTTGGAAGATGAAGCAAGCGAATCTGAGAAAGAAAAGGAAGTGAACGTCAAAAGTGCAAAAGTTTCTGTGAAATGTAAGACAGTTGTAGCTCTCATTGAAACAGAAGAAGAATATGAAGAAAAGCAAGGACTAGAAGCAGTAGCAAAGAAATAATTAGTAATCAAGAAAGACAAGAACAAGGAAGACAAGAAGAGATGGTATACTGATTCTGGCTGTAGCCACAACATGACCAAGTGTAGAAGCATTTTGAGGAATTTCAACCCAAATGTATCTGGTACTGTGAAGTGGGGTGATGGTATGTGTTCACCCATTAAAGGAAAGGGCACAGTAGTGTTAAAGCTAAAGGAAGATCATGGTGGATACCAAATTAAAGCTAAAGGAAGATCATGGTGGATACCAAATAACCCTCAAGGAGGTCTATTACGCCCCTGATCTGAAGCAAAACCTGATCTCTGAAAGACAGTTCGACCTAAAAGGGTGTAAAATCACTACCCACAAAGGTGTTAAAAGTGTCAGTGGCAAAGACGAAGTATTTTTGAAAGCCATTTGGAATGACAATGAGAAGATGTATGAGAAAAATAGCTGAAGAAGTACTTTCTAAAAATGAACCTACCACAGAAGACAAATCAAGAAAACAAGAAGTAGAACTCCAAGGTAAAAGAGCCTCAATGGACCTCTGGCATCAAAGGTTTGGTCACTCCCTAAAAGTACCAGAAGTGTGTGAATCAAAGGGAAAGATTGATGATTGTGATGTATGCAAGCAGGGAAAAGCAAGGAGTAAGCCATTCAAACGAAGTGATTCAAGAGCAACAGCAGTGCTTGAAATAATACACAGTGATGTATGTATGGTGGCTGATAGATCTCTCAATGGCAGTCAGTATTTTATTACATTCTTAGATGATTACACAAGATGTTCAGAAGTAGCCATCATGAAGAAGAAGAGTGAAGCATTTGACAAGTTTGAGAATTTCGTGGCAAAGGCCGAAAGAATGCAAGGAACCCAAATAGTTTTCCTTCAGAGTGACAATGGGGGAGAATACATCAGTGAAAAATTCTCAAGTTTCCTAGCCAAGAAGGGAATTCAGAGAAGACTCGCTGCC